GGAGGAAGGAGCCAGGAGAAGGAAGGAGCCAGGAGGAGGAGGAACAGCCTCGGGGATGAGTGCCTACGACCCGTTCAGCCCGTTGCGGAAGCCCTGGGATGAGTACCGCCGCCCCACCAAGTCGAGCATCTCGCCCAGCCTGTACCCGGCGCACCGGGGCCCGGCTCCGAAGCGGCCGGCTCGGGCCGGGCCGGGGTCGCCGCTGGACCTGTCGCAGGTGAGCACCGTGAACGCCGAGCTGCTGAGCCTGAGGGCGCGGGAGAGGGAGCAGCTGGTGGGCCTCAACGACCGCTTCGCCAGTTACATCGAGAAGGTGCACCTGCTGGAGCAGCACCACAAGGTGCTGTTGGTGGAGCTGGAAGCCCTGAGGCACAAGCAGAGCGACCCGTCCCGGCTCCACCTGGTCTACGAGCACGAGATCCGCGGCCTGCGGGCGCTGCTGGAGTCGGAGACCGGCGACAAGGTCCGGATGGAGGCCGACAGGGACCGCCTGAGGGGGGCCTACTCCCAGGCGAAGGACCGGTACGAGGAGGCGGTGCGGCTCCGCCTGGAGGCCGAGGACCGGCTGCAGAAGGCCAGGGAAGGGGCGGGCAAGGCCCTGCTGGCGAACAGCGACCTGGAGGGCAGCATCGGCTCGCTGGTGGAGGAGATCTCCTTCCTGAAGAAGGTCCACGGCCAGGAGAGCGCCGAGCTGTCCTCCCGGGTCCAGGCCGCCCACCTGACGGTGGAGGTGGAAGTGGCCAAGCCGGACCTGTCGCTGGCCCTGCGGGAGATCCGCTGCCAGTACGAGAAGCTGGCCCAGAAGAACATGCAGGCGGCCGAGGACTGGTACCGCACCAAGTTCGCCGCCGTCACCGAGATGGCCAGCAAGAACCACCAGGCGGTGCGCTCCATCCGCGAGGAGACCGCCGAGTACCACCGGCTGCTGCAGTCCCGCGGCTCCGAGATCGACGGGCTGAAGGGCGTCATCGACTGCCTGCAGAAGCAGCTGGAAAACCTGGAGGAGAGGCAGAGCAAGGAAGTGCG